ACATGGCAAGGCTGAAAAGGGCTGGTCTAAGAGCAAGCTGCTTTGTAAAATCGGGTGAGTATAACTTTAATTTCCTCCCTAGACCATAATGAGCAGTTAACCCTTGCAGTGCGGGGGTAGCCCCACTGCAAGGGTTGTTAAACGTTTTGCTCTGAGTTCTTTTTTAAAGCACAGTTCTAGGTTTACAGGTCATGTCATATGTGTGTTTATCTTCAGTATGCCGCATGGTAAGCCTTGGGCTACACGTAGATCCCTGACTAAAGACTTGTGAGAGTCAGCAAGGACAATGCGAAACAAGGAACATAGCTCTTTCTGTGCACTGGGGATAATTGGATATGGTAACTCCACAATGAAATCTCCACTGGAGATGCAAGGAATGCATGGACCACAGAGTATCACTAGTAACCGTAGTATTCAGGTATCTTATGTGAAATTAGATCTTATGCACAAATTATGTTTAATTCTAGTGTGAAGTCCACTTTAAATGGAAATGAGTCATGTATTCCTATTTGTGGCTAAGATACAATTCGTTGTAATAATAATATCATGTATTGGGCCACTTTGTAATGGTGTATATGATGTTTGCAGTGCACTTCATCTCATGTTTCTGAGAAGCTGATGTCAGATTATTGTGAACCGTGCCATACTCAGGAGTAATACATTGCTTGGCTGTGTTTTATGTTTGATGTTCTGACTTTCCATCACCTACAACCTCTCAGCATGATCTATCTTTTGTCTTAGAGTTCTCAGAAGATTGACAAGCTAGATGGGGCTCATGCACCTGAGCTGACCAAGAGAGTCCAGCGCCATGCATCAAACACTGCTTTTCCTGCTGCCCCCAACAGCACTCCCAAAGAGGACCTCAACGTCCGGCTTAAGAAACTAATCAATGTGACCCCGTGTATGCTGTTCATGAAAGGATCTCCCCAGGAGCCCAAATGTGGTACGTATGTGACCATTTTAATGTGACACATGGGCAAAGTAAAAAAAAAAACAGACTTTATTTTCAATGTACTTTTCTTATTACCATGTTTCCCCGAAAATAAGTCACTGTCTTATTTTTTTTTGGCTCAAAAAAACCTAGGGCTGTGGAAATTAAAGATTAATTTCTCGATTAATCGTTAAACTTTTTGATCGATTCAAATTATTTTGATCGCTAATGGAAACACTCCCCTCTCCGCCGGCTTCCCGGGAGTCTCGTCGGCGATCGACATCGATGTCCGTGACGTCACCGGACTCCTCCCCCCTTCCCCAAGTGGCTCACGAAGGGAAGGGGGGAGGAGTCCGGTGACGTCGATGTCCGTGATGGCTAACAAAGGGAAGGGGAGAGGAGTCGGGTGACATCTATGTCCGTGACGTCACCGGGCTCCTCCCCCTTCGTTAGCCGACGGAGCCACTTGGGCCGGTGAGTTTGCCCAAGAAACTTTCTGCACGAGCACCAGCCAAGGCATTGGCCTATACACATATACAGGCGGAGTGCATTTGGTTCCCCCCCGCCTGGGACAGGAGCCGGCGCTATAGAGGAGGCATCGGCTTATGCGGCTCTGCTCCCTCCGGTGCCGACTCGCTTCCTCTAGCGCTGGCTTCATTGGCCCCGCTGATTCTCTCCCGCTGCTCTTCAAGTTCCCCTCTTATGCCACCACCGGCCCTAGGAATGGTTACAACTAGGTCTTATTTTCGGGGTAGGTCTTATATTTTAGCAATTCCCAAAAATAGTACTAGGTCTTATTTTCGGGGTAGGTCTTATTTTCGGGGAAACAGGGTAAGTCTTATAACACTGGCTTATGTTCTATCCAATAGCAGCTGTCAGTGCAGGTCTGAACCAAGAAACTGTTCCTACTTTATTTGTTCTGCAGGCGGTGGTGGCAACACAGTGGCCTGTAAATGTCACAAATTAGGGCTGATTTGAGTTGTATATACTTGAAGTGAATTAGTGCTTTACCCATCAAGGGGAATGTAATGGGTTCACTTTAATGTAGACTTCCATAGATGCAGATCCCCTCTTCTTGTTTGCATCAGCTTCTGGGAACAGAAGGAGAGCCCTGTTAAACTATGAGTTGCTGTACTCCTGTTTTTTTTCCGACTTACCATGTGACAATGCTGTTTGGCCCACGTGGAGGGAGTTGCGTGGTGCGGCGACAGATGATGATACATTCAGCAATAAAAACCTGACACTGGACCTTAAGATTTGAATAAAGTTGGACTTAGTGCAAACCAGCAGTGACTTCCACTTCAGAAGTGATTATCTCTGGCAAATCTTTTTAGACTGAAAGGTAACTTCAGTTTATGCAAGCTCTTAGATTTAATTGCCTGGGTTTCTGAAGACCAAATGAGCTTACAGTTTAAATCTATTCCAGGCGATCAAAGCTAAAGATGTTCAAAGTCTACAGTTCTCTTTCTTTAGAAAGCAGCTGCAGCCTGAGTAGAAAAGCCAGTCCCCTGCCAGTCTCTTGGAAATAGGTTTCCTTGCTCTCTGTGGGGAAGTGGCTATCTCTTTGCAGAGGTCTGACAACCAAAGCTCTCCAATCAGCAGGAAGCATCAGCTTTGCTGATTGCGGAGCTGTGGGTCTGATTCAGTAGGGGACATGTCGGACCTCTGCAACGAGACCACTGCTTCCCGACAGAGAGCAAAGGCCCTTCTCTGCAGGTGACAGATATTTTTGCTCAGCTGTAAGACTTTGATTCCCTTTTGTTTTGATGTACCTTGAATGTATTAACTGATTTAATCTGAAAGTTCAATTGGGCTTTAAAATCCAGGAAATGTTGGGTAGAATTAATTCAGTGTATTAGCCAGGGGGAGATAGAAAATATATTTACAGAAAGGCTAACCTATTATTAGAAGGTAAGTGGTAGTGAATAGGGCAGATTTCATCTTAACTAGCCATGTAGAGCATTTTTTGGAGATCACAGCCTGAACCTTTCAGCCTCTTTCTTTGAAGCAAAAAAGGGAATTTATCAAAACTGGAGCAGTCAGAATCTGGAGTGGTTGCCCATGGCAACCAATCGGCTTCTATATTTTATTTTAAAAGCTTAACTGAGCAAAATAAAAAGAGAAATTGGTTACTAGGGGCAACTGCTCCAGATGCTGTCTACTCCCATTTTAATCTATGTCCCCCAAAACCTTGATTAGAAAAGGCTTTTTGCTAAGATGCCTCTACAGAGCAGAAAACCTCTTTTAGATTGTAAGCTCCCACGGGCAGGACCCTCATCATTTTGTCTTGAATTGTATTGTGACTGTACTGTTACCTTTTATATTTTAAAGTGCTGTGCAAACTATTGGTGCTATATAAATCCTGTATAGTAATAATATATAATCAGGTGTTTACCTAAGTGCAGATAGCTGGTTGTTAGTCTTCGCCATGTCACCAGATGAACCCCCTCCCTTTGTTTACAGAGTTCAGTAGCTCAAACGCAAGTTTAATCACAGAATTTAATGATCCAGGGTGGGGACTCCTCTTCACTCATCCCCAAATCTCCCCTCTCTCCTGACACTTCAGTTAAAGAGAGACTTGGAAGGCTGTAACATCTCCATAGAAAACCCATAATTCTCTGTGAATCCAGTATCATGTGTGGATTCTGTTAAAGATTTATTCTGAAAACAAATGCATATAAATAGTAAAAAATATATATATAATACATTGGTTTATAAAGGTCTAACCTGTTAAATATTATAATTGAAGTTGAATATAATTATAGTTTCTCTTTAAAGACCTTGGTATTGGTGGTCTGGATGACATTGTCCTCCTTTCTTACTATCAAAATCCCTAAAATAGGGGGATTATATACACACACACACACACACACACACACACAGGTGAAACTCGAATAATTAGAATATCGTGCAAAAGTAATTGCAGTAAGTGCTGCAAAAGGGGCCCAAACCAAGTACTGAGTACATATGCATGTATCAACTATATATATATAGTTGAGCCATTATTTTCATTTCTTGTTTCAATCTGATCATATAAAAGTGCCAGAAATGTCACTTCCCTATGGCTTTGTCAGCCTGGGGGCCTTGTGTTTGTGTATAGAGCACCGTCGGGACTCTAATTTCCTGCTTGTGTGATTGGCTCGCTGTTTTTTTTCCTGCACCAAACTTGCAGTCAAATTACAGGCACCCCCTGCCATAGAAGCAGCATTTTTGGTGAGATATTTTCAAGTATTTGCCAAGTCCTAGCAGATGACTGGGCTCCACATTTTCTTGTAACGCTGGGAATGATGATAATGAGGACAGACTCTCGCTTAGTGGTCAGCTTGAGAAGAGACACGAAGACCTGTATTGGTTTCTTGAGAAGAGGAGATGGTAAATCTGCTATTAAAGCATGTGTAAACCCAAGAACAGAAAGGTGATATATTTCAGCTTACCAGTCGTTAGACTTGGGGGCAAGATCCATCGGGTGATCCTCCCAGTAGGGCAGTCCTGTCCCATGGTGAATGAGTGTATTTATGAAGGTACAGTGTTGTCACCCTAGGACACAACTACAGAACTCCTCTCCTCGTCTTCATAACACAGGGGAATGTTATAGGATAAATCCATCCTGTAACAATCATCTATCCCAAACCACATGTATTTTGTCTATTTGATTGTTCCTCCATGAGATTGGTGGGTGTCTTCTGCAGTCATAGACAGGAGGTTTGGGTCAAAGACAACAGATAAGTAATCTCATGGCTATGAATAACTTTAGAAACGTTTAGCAGAAAGTTTTGTCCTGTTTTTTCCTAATTATAATACAAAATGATTGACCATTGGTGATTTCTAATGAAACTCATCTTTTGGCTTATGGTAGTTAGATTGGTAAATTATGTTGCCTGCCCAAAAAGTCACATACCCTAATTTTGGTTGGACCACCTAGCTTTGATTACGACACACATTGGCTGTGGCATCGTTTCTATAAGCTTATTCAATGTCACAACATTGATTTCCCTCCAGAGTTGCATCATTTTTTCGCTAAGATCTGGTAATGATGATGGGAGAGTTAGAGCATTGCGCAATGTCTTCTCCAGCACATCCCAAAGATTCTCAATGGGGTTAAGGTCTGGACACTGTGGTGGCCAATCCATGTGTGAAAATCTCATGGTTGCTCAACTACACAATTTGAGCCCGATAAATCCTGACATTGTCATCTTGGAATATGTCCGGGCCACCAGGAAAGAAAAATCCATTGATAGAAAAACCTAGTCATTCAGTATATTCAGGTTGGCAGCTGACCTCATTTTTTTTGGGACCTAATGTTGCTGAAACTAGTGATTATTCAGTGGAAGGTTCTTCCCTCTGTGCTTAGCCAAATGCAGATGTTAACTTTTTTTTGGCCAGGCAGTGTATAAATGTCTGCTATCCTGCCAATTTTAAAACTAACTTGGGGATACACAATGGGTAGTGTAAATCACTTGAGAACACAATACAGTACAAGTAAAATAATGAGTAACCACAATAGGGAGTAGTAGGGTAGCCTGCAGGACAGCTTGCTACGTGTATTTCATGGCGTCTACAAAGTGTCTAATATTTGGTATTCGCCTGGATTAGATAAAACCACATTGTATAGACCTAGTTTCATGTATCGTGCAGTTTCCACTTATATTTGCTATATGCCCATAAGGGAGTAACAATAAAATCAATGTTTTTTTTACTCTGAAAAATAAAATGTACCCCATCCCTCCTACCCCCTTCAACCAATTCAGAATAATAATTAAAAAAAAGCCCTTCAAAGTCTATTTCCCTTACCCGATCAGCCTTCATACGTCCCTCACTGGCTGCTCTTCTACTACTGGAGAGCGGTGATCAGGTGCTGCAGTCCTCGTCTGTCCCCACCCCGTGTCGTGATGTTACCATGCATCCAGTGATGGGCAGCCAATGGTAAGTGTACACCTTACCAGGTAGCAACATGGAGACCTGCAGAAGGACCCTCCCACAAGGAGAAGACCCAATGTGACGCGTGACCACAGAGTTAGGTGAGTATTTGGGGCATTAGGATTGGGTTTTCTTTTTTTCTTTTATTATAATACAGGATTGATATAGCACCACAGTTTGCACAGCACTTTACAATATAGGGAAGACATTACAATTACAATACAATTCAAGACAAGATGGTAAGGGGGGCCCTGCACGTGAGGGCTTACAATCTAAAAGGGAGGGGCAAGTGATACATGAGGAGGTAGCTGTGTGGGGATGATTGTTTGAGAAAGTGATGGTTGAGTGGTTAGGTTGAGGTGGGATAGGCTTCCCTGAAGAGATGAGTCCTAGGGGATCGCCTAAAGGCAGTCAGAGTGGGAGATAGTCGGACAGGTTGGGGTAAAGAGTTCCAGAGGATTTGAGATACTCTAGAGAAGTCCCGGAGGTGAGCATGGGAGGAGTTGACGAGGGAGCTGGAGAGCAGGAGGTCTTTGGAAGAGCGGAGGGGACGGTTAGGGCGATACTTTGAGACAAGGTTTGAGCTATAGCCGGGGGCAGAGTTGTGGATGGCTTTGTAAGTGGTTATTAATATTTAGAATTATATCCTTTGGGCGATTGGAAGCCAGTTGCAGCAATTAGCTATAGGGGTGAGGGATATTGTTTATGGGGAATAACTTTCCTGGTTGGACATCTTAGAGGGCTGAGTGATTTTGGCATTGCGTCATGCAGTCAAACCACTAACTCCTAGAACTACTGTATTGTCTTTTCATGTGTTTTTTAAATTTATTTATTTGGTTTTGTCTCACCCGTGTAATTCCTTCCATGAACAAGCATAAGGAAATACTTTTTCTTTATCCGAGTCAAATGGTATGCTTGTTTTATTCATCCATCTTAGTTTCCATGCAAAAACCAAGTCGTGTTTATTTTGTCCCAAAGCACGGTATCCACTCACCTGCCGCATTAACCCGTACAATTGAAATCCAAGCTATTCATCTTGCTGGTCTTCATCCCATTACCTGGAGCTCAGGCAAAGCTTTCTGGTGGGGCCGGTCCAGTAAAAATGATTGAATGTATTGGAAACAGAATAACCAAAAGCAATCGGCCTTCAGCTATTTACTAATGAACTCCCAGATGAATGACACGTTTCAGAGTGTGTGTGTTTCACTCGGGGCTGTACATGAACTTAACACTTCCCTGGCAGGCGAAATAAATAAAGAGCTCACATCACACGCACCTCCACCGTATGCAGACCGCGGCCCGCTCCATCGCATCGCTGAGAGGGATAGTCATATTTTAGCTGCGAGAGGGGGGGGGGATGGAGGTCACACAAAGGCTAGTCATGTACTGTGAGTTGTAAATATGGCCCTGCTTAGACAAAAGGGCTTTTTATTGAAGGTTCTTTCATGGAACAGTAGATGCGTTCAGGTGTTTGCAAATAATACCATGTGATATGTTGTGATGAGACCATTTTCAGCATCTTGTATTATTATTATACAGGATTTATATAGCGCCAACAGTTTGCGCAGCACTTTACAATATAAGGAAGACATTACAATCACAATTCAAGACGCGATGGTAAGGAGGGCCCTGCGCCTGAGGGCTTACAATCTAAAAGGGAGGGGAAAGTGATACATGAGGAGGTAGCTGTGTGGGGCTGAATTGTTTGAGAAAGTGATAGATGATGCCTGAAACGAATGACTGAATGTATGTAAGTAAATAAAGGATAATTCTCCTTTAAGGATCAGAGTATATGGGCGATTAATAGTCACATGATTAGAAATGTCATGCTATTGATTGTGGATCCCTGCTGGCATTTCATAAAATCTGCAACTTTTCCTTTAAAAGGGAAAACCTGGACTTTTTGATGTTTAGCTGGACATGTAAAATAGAACTCGTTGATGAAAATAATCAATGTGTGTTAGTTATAAAAAAAACCCCCCGCTGTTTGTCTATGTTCATGGAAGCAGCCATATGTGCTGATTATATACAGAAGCTTTGGGTTCTGCTTTGCAGTGCTACACAATGGTTGTGCTTTACTGTTTCTTCTCAAATTGCAAGTCAATAGGTCAGCTGACTCATTGAAAACAATGCCCTCCATGTGTAGCTGATGCCTTAAAGAGGAACTTTACCCATAGCTTTAAAATTACAACTAGGGATGTACCGATACCAAGGAATTGGGCAAGTACTCACACTCCCCCAAATACTCCTGATACTTATTTCCATACTGGAACTTCCGGTATCAGGAAGCCAGGTGGCGAGTCATTACACGCTGCCCGCCCTCCTGATTGGCCGGGAAGCCGTCTCCAAGCTCCCTCGTCACCAGAGAGCATGGAGCTGGCTTTCCGGCCAATCAGGAAGCCGGGGGGGGGGGGGGGGGGGCGCGTAATGACTCGCCACCCGGCTTCCTGATTGGCTGAGAAGCTTGCTCCATGCTCCCTTGTCACTTGGGGACAAGAGAGCATGGAGTTGGCTTCCTGGCCAATCAGGAAGCCGGGCGGCGAGTCATTACACGCCTCCCGACTTCCCTAATGGGACATCTGGTATCGGCGAGTAGCGAAAAAAAGAAAATATCAGTACTCGTACACAACATCGATAAACAGGTATCGGTGCACCCTTAATGACGACAAATACAACTCCTGTAGGTGGCAGTATAACCCTAAGGTTTAAGACTTCCATTTTGTCCTTTTATGAAAGGTCTAGAAAAATGTAGTCTTGCATATAGTCTAGAAAATATAAACTGAATGTACGTTTTGAATTAAGCACAGTTGTAGTGTTTGCCGGATAATCTCACTAGTTCACTGATTTACATATTATCTGGTGCTAATAGTTTGGTTATATATGTTTCTTTTTGTGTTTTTAACTAAAGCTGACCCACATTCCCACTACTTGGGCCCCTGACACATTCAGACCTAAGACACAAAGAAAGGCTGTGTGCGGCTAGCAGAAACATCTCCTAACTTGTTTCCTGGGATCCAGTACCATTCATTTACTGGTTGCTGTCAGCATTTGTTCCTAATACAGAGCAAGTCTCTGCCATGAGCTTCTAAAGCCCGCTGGTTTCAAAGGACCAGTTCCTGGCTATAACAATCCGTATGTTGTTAAAAAAAATCAAGCTGAGACCATGGGCAAACACACAGACGTGATGAATATTGTAGTTTTCCTTGGAAGGAACTGCCAGCACAATTTGCAGCATACACCATATGAGGTCAATGTGCGCAAAATGTTATTTATACTTGGCTTCCGTCATAGTAGATAAAGATGTGATTTGTATCTTGCAGGATTCAGCAGACAAATCATCGACATCCTTAACAAGCATAAGATCCAATTTAGCAGTTTTGATATATTGTCCGATGAGGAAGTGCGGCAGGGGCTAAAGACCTTCTCCAACTGGCCCACTTATCCCCAGTTGTATGTCAATGGAGAGCTAATTGGAGGCCTGGACATTGTCAAGGTGAGGAGAGACCACACTTCCCACTGTCATTCTTTTGCCAGGATACAAATGCTGTGCTTAACCAAGTGTCTCATTTACAGGAGATGGAGGCGTCAGGGGAGCTAGCTACTACATGTCCCAAAGTCCAGAGCCTGGAAGACAGGTACAGGCCCTCTTATTTGAAAGCATACCGCATGCCAATACAGAAACATATGGGGATCTTAGCAGAATGTGGGATCCTTTGATTATTTCATTTTTATTTATCTGGCCTTTCGGGGAAATGTGATTATTTGAGTCAAATTCCAGGCAATTGGCCACGGTAGATATGTAATTGAAATGCATATGTTTGTGTTACCTGCCAAAAATGTTTTAATTCTGTTTGTCCAGTCTTGTAATGCTTTCATACCTGTAAAGCTGGCCATACACCTATACATTATCTGCAGATTTTCTATGGTCGGATGGAAAAAGTGTAACAGATTCCTTCATCTACGCTAAACTGTGTGGATGGAGGAATCTCCCACTGGGCCAAGCTTCAGTATCTTGTTAGTTGGCCCGGCTGGCTCTCAAAATACCTGAACAATCTGATTGGATGTACGGTAGGCATTGTTCAGGTGTTTTGAGAGCCAGCGGGGCTCACAAGCGAGGTACTGAAGCTTGGTCCAGTGGGAGATTCCTCCATCCACACAGTTTAGAGTAGATGAAGGAAACCTTGCACTTTTTCTATCTGACCATAGAAAATCTGCAGATAATCTTTTAGGTTCATATTTCTTTGGACGGCCTCTAGCTTTGATTACGGCACACATTCGCCATGGCATCGTTTCCATAAGCTTATGCAATGTCACAACATTTATTTCCATCCAGAGTTGCATTATTTGTCACCAAGATCTTGTAGTGATGATTAGAGAGTCGCACCACTGTGTAAAGTCTTCCCCAGCACATCCCAAAGATTCTCAATGGGGTTAAGGTCATGACCCTGTGGTGGCCAATCCATGTGTGAAAATTATGTCTCATGCTCCCTGAACCACTCTGTCACAATATGAGCCCGATAAATCCTGGCATTGCCATCTTGGACTATGCCCAAATCATGGGTGAAGAAAAAGTCCATTGATTGAAAAACCTGGTCATTCAGTATATTTTGGTAGGCAGCTGACCTCATATTTTTCGGACATAACATTGCTGAACCTAGACCTGACCAAGTGAAGCAACCCCAGATCATAACACTGCCCGAAATCCAGGTGGTGACTTTTTTTTGGCCAGGCAGTGTACATCCAGGAATTATTGCTGACCACCTATATTTCTTTTCAGACTCAAAGCACTTATTAACAAAGCTCCGGTAGTTCTCTTCATGAAAGGCAATAAGCAGGTATGTATGTGTGGGTAGGAATGCATGTAATGTGGAATTATATGATTGTTTTTCAGAAAGTACTATAACTTCTTTGTTTCCTATGTGTCTTCAGGTGGCCAAATGCGGATTTAGCCGTCAGATCCTTGAAATCCTCAATAACACGGGGTGAGTCGGGGAGCGTCTGTGCTGGGAGAGACGTAATTGATACGCTTTGTTTGCCTGTAGTAAACACCAATGTGCAGCTCCGGTTATTGACAACGTGTCATTTTTCCCTGTCGGAGTTATTTTTCTTTATAGCCGGTGATTTATCCTGTTGTGCTGTTTTTTAATTTGCGTTACAGTTTCATGGATTGGAATCCTGTTGAATTGCTGCCAGCAGTTTCTGTTATGACTCTTTCTTGTCTACTGATGTGTTGAATACTTTAAAGCAATTTACACATTTTTTAGCACTTATTTAGTCATATTCAGCCTGAACATACCCTCAGACATATGATGATTGTCACTCTGTGTGGCCAGGGAGGTAGAGAAATGTGCCGGGCTGTTTCTGTACCCTCCTGCAGCCTGCTTGTACCCTCAGTCCAAATGTTTCTCCAAGCAAAGTTCTTTTCATTCCATGCGTCGAGTTACATCACCAAGTGTAGCTGACTTGGTGATGTAACGCTACACATGGAATAAAAAGAACTTTGCTTGGAGAAACTTTTGGAGTGCTGGTGACTTACTGTTCTGTTTATCTGATTCAGCGGCGCCATCCACTGTCATTTCAGCACCCCCCCCACCCCCCCAATTGGGGATTACCCGGTCAGGAAAGCGTTGGGATTCCCCTTATGACCTCAGTCCAGCCAAGGTCTACCCACAACCCTACCAAGAAACCTCTTTTGCAGCTGTTGTGTTACAAGAGAACTGTTAAACAAATTCCATGTTACAAGAGATTGCTGAAAACTGCTTGCAGAGTACAGGAGACTTCTGCACAATTGTAATGTGTCGGAAGCTGCTCTCTGTGCTTTAAATCTTAAAGCAGACCTGTCATTAATATTCATACCTCTCATGAATCAACAGGGCTTATGTCACTGTCATTGAGGGGAAAAAAAATGTGCCTTACCCGGGCTTAGATGATACGTTCCTGCCTGCCAGGAGTGGTATTATGAATTTTTCTTGTAGTAACACCTCAGATAGTCTTTTATTTTCAGACAGACCCTGTCTAGAAGACTTGTATTGAAATAAGATGGGCAAGACACAACCATTATGTCCAGTTACATGATATGCATAGACACAAGGTTATGTTCAGCGGTTGGATCAACTTAAGGAACTCCTTCACCAAATTTTAGTAGTAACTCCATTAAAAATACATTTGTTAGTGTTGGCTAGAGCTGATAGAAGTTCAGTCCTCTAAATGGTCTTCTATGGTCCGTGTGGGATTATCTCCTTCCACATCTTGATCAACTGTAGTAAGATTGCAGCTAAGCCTGTGTGATTTCTCTCAACACTAGCAGGACTGCAGGTATCATTTATCTACCCTCTAATGCAGGGGTGCCCACAATTTTTCGTCTGGAGATCTACTTTTCAAATGACGAGCTCATTGAGATCTACCAGCGAAAAAACAACTGTGTTCATGGATGGGAGGGGGGCGTGGCAGTGCAATGAAGTCAATGGCACTGTAGCCATGCCCCTTGCCCACAGCGCGATTGCCCGCACCGGGAACGCAGGCACATTAATGCCTGCGTTCCAGTCCAGTGCGTTCTGCAATAATGCTGCAAGCACTTTTTTTGCAGATCGCACTGGACCGGAACGCAGGCACTGATGTGCCTGCGTCCCGATGCAGGCGATCGGGCGGGGGGCGTGGCTGCGGTGCCATTGACTTCAATGCACCACCACGCCCCCTCCCGGCTGTGAACGCAGGGAGCCGGCCGTCTTGCATTCCAGAGGCTGAACGCTCTGGAACGCAGACTTTGTGGTGTGAACCGTCCCTCTCTCTTGGCTGTCTCGTCTCTTTTCTCTCTCTCTGCTGCTTCTCTTCTCTCTGCTGTCTCTCTCCTCTCAGGTGCGTTGTCCTGTCCTCCCGCGGTGCTTGTGTGGCCGAATGTGCAGACTGGGAGAGGTGTCCCACCCCTTCCTGTCTGCAGCGTCTGACGGATAAAGCCGTACTAGCACCTTGGGATGACAGGACGCAGCCGATCGCGATCAACCAGTGTTTGCTTTGCGATTGACCTAATTGGCACCCCTGCTCTAATGGATTCTGCAAGGTATGGAAAAGGCACTTCAGGTAGCCGCATTAGTAGCTTTGTCAGGAGGCTGGAAGCATCTCAACAATTGGGTCTCACCAAGCTGTAAAGAACCAGTGTGGGTTCTAACCCTGCCCAACTCCACCTCAGATGGGAAAAATCTATGTGCGTGGCATTGCCCTTTAAAACTGATCCTATTCTGTTTACTATTCCTGAGCTGTGTTGTCAGTCTGAGGTGTGTTTGCTCCAATTATGTAGCACAGAGGTCATGTCAAGTTAATACTTAGCATGGGGTCTTGCGACTGATGTTTGAATATGGTATCAAAATGCAGATAAGTGTTCATTTTGCTGCACTGAAGGCAGATCCTGAAAAAAGAAAACCTTAGTTTTGCAGGCCTTTATTGGGGATGAGCTCAGGTTTGTATCCGACCCGGTCCGAACCTGGAAACTCCTTCTGCTGCTGCCCAATTGGCTGAGGCCAAGGAATTTCCCAGGTAAGCAAGGAGGTGAGATGCTTTGAAGTCATTGACCTTACATGGCCACATGGCTATATTTGGCCAGTGATATTGACCTAATATGGTCATGTGGTCATATAAGGTCAGTGATGTCAACACAAGCATCCTGCCCCTTTGTTTATGGGCAGGTACAGGGGGGGGGGTGCCCCGGCCTGTAGCTGAGTAAGCAGGTTCGGAGGACCAGGTTCAATCTGAACCTGAGCTCATCCCGAGTCTTTATTAATGTGTATTTGCAGCATAAAGGGTCTTTATTTACATGGATGTGTCTTGTTTTGTGTGTCTTTTTCACTTACAGATTGCTCAGATATTTATTAACCTGCGTTGTGCACTGTGTTTTTGGTGTTTTTTTTTATTTTTTATTTTATTCTATCCATTTAACATGTTCCCTTTTCTCTCATTTTTCCTCTCTAGTGTGGAGTATGACACATTTGACATTCTGGAGGATGAAGAGGTAAGATGGAAGAGATTGGAGACCTTTTCTAGCAGGTTTTTACAACTTGGAGTTCTTTTGCATGACAGGTACACTGGAACCTGTGTATAGTGTCTGGTAGCTGTGGCATGGTCCAGGGTGCACATTTCTTATATGAAGTCACATCTTACCTAATAAGATACTGGAACTACAAGTTCAACGTCTTCTACTTTTGTTGAAACTCCTGTTTGTGCTGGTAAAAGCCAAGTAACAAGTTAGGATGGAAGCAGGTTAGACTGGTAGTATGATTTTGGAAGAAAACAACTACACACAGAGGAAGCCTGTCCAGACCTCATGTATATGTTGTCCATGATAAGAATTAAACCTGAGTGAGACAGGGCAACAGTGTTAACCTTTGAAGAGACACTATTACCTGACCATTCAGGGCTAAGCAAGAGTACCTTCTGATAGCCCCAACCCCTGGCAAGATACTTACTGATCTATGCTTCCTCATCTCCTTGCTGGAGGATTCTTTCATAAGTAAGCTCCAGTGTCTGAGTTTACGCAGGAGGAAGGTGTCTCTGCCCTCCCCATGTGATGGTGTTTGGCCCTGAAAAGTGGTGCTTTGGCCCAGACACTGTCATATAGAGGAGGTCTCTTGCGCCCCTTTAGAGGAAGCCCCAGTCCATTATAGTATGGCGCAGTGGGAAGGCAGTGAATGAGCACATATGGGTAAGTATACCTTGCTTGGGGGTGGGCTATTAGGAGGCGCTGTCACTTTGAATGAGAAAAGTGAGAATGCCTCTTAAACATTTTGTACAAGTAGGCCAGGCTGACTTTTATTATTCTTGTATTGATATGCCTAAATATTAAAATGGATTTATTAAAAGGTAAGTCTGTCCAATGCTGATATTTCTGTGATGGGCAGGCAGTGGAGCGCTAAACTGCGACTTAGATTTTTATATTTTGGGGAACCCAGAGTTAGAATCTTTAGGAGTGCTCAGATTTGACAGAAAATACGTCTACACTTGTGTCAATGAAAAGTCCAGCAGTGAGTTGGACCCCCTCAATGACAGCTGACAGACTTGGGCAGGACTGGAGCACACTGATTTCAATACCAGGGCTTCCAGGAGGTTATAGGCAGTTGGGGGGATAATACAACCCATTGAATGTCAAATCTCCTTAGTGTAAACAGTGGCTTTTACTGTGTTTTATAGCTTTTTTTTTTTTGCCAATTCTTTCTTAAGGTTCGACAAGGATTGAAAACATACTCTAACTGGCCAACATACCCACAGCTGTATGTAAAGGGAGAACTTATTGGAGGCTTGGACATTTTAAAGGTAAGCCTTCATTTTTCCCATGCCCTTCTTTATTTCATAATGGGTGTAAAAGTGAAGCCCACGTGGAAGCCTTTGATCTTCATTGCTTCGTTGGTGTTTTATGTTTAGGCTCCTGCAGTGCAGTGCTGAAAAGTTTGGTGTGAAGAATTCGGTGCCCAAAACAGACCTAAATCTTTTCCCCAGCCAGTTTCTGCGATAACTTTAAAGCGACTCTGAAACTTCCCCCTAAAGAAATCTAAGCAATTGCTCCGCTCAATAGAAGACTGTGACTACTTTCCTCTCTGTCTTTCAGCGCTGCAGTCTCTGGCAGAGTATTCAACTTTCAGCACGTCTGTTACTGTCAAATGTCTGCGTCCCCCGCCGCATGCTGTGTGTTCTTCCTCCGACACCTATGTCATCACATATGTCATTGCAGGATTAAGAAGTGATGTAGGGGCTGGTGGGAAGAACCACAGCATACAGTTGGGGACACAGCGATTCAACACAGCCGGACGTTTTGAATGTTGGAAGTTTTGCCAAAGGCCGCAGCACTGAAAGACAGAAGAGTTTGGACTCGCCACCCACTAGAGAGGTAAGTATTCCTAGTCTTTTGTTTACAAGGAGCAACAGTTTACCTTTTCTAGGGGATGTATCCATCACTTTAATTGCTCAGGCTCTACCTAAAATTTACACTTCACCTACCCAGAAAGTTAACACTTAACTCTACCCCAGCTCCCAGGCATAACCCTGATATGCAACACAATATTTTCTGATATGCACTCACGTGTGGCGGGATTGAAGGAATCTCAGCAAATCGATAGTTTTTTCTTTTAGGTTGAAAAGTATTTTTTTTTTTTTGTGCACCGATACTGATTTTAGCGCTTTTATCCATTTAAGTGTGTATTTTTATCGGTTTAATATCAATCTGACAAACATTTGTGCAATTATCGCAGGACCTACAAAATTAGCAGCACCATCTTTTTATTTTACCGGGCCTGTGCTTTCAGAAAATATATGGTTTGAGGGGTCTTTTACAAACTCTAGTAAAGCGGCAGTAGAAAATAAACCGATGGGAAAAATTGCAAAAACGATGCGTTCCGGAGGGCTTGGCAACGAAAGGGTTAATGGGCTATTTATTTTTATCTTGTTAATTATTGGCTGGAATTATGTTTTTATTACTATGGATAGTTTCTTTTACCTCCCTGCTCTAATTCTGCATGTACAGTTCTAGACTAAGCCGAGTGAATTCTGTTTGGTTTGTGATGGCGTATAATAAACATTTGCTGTTTTTCCTCCCCACAGGAGTTGAAGGAAAGCGGAGAGCTGATTTCGACGCTGAAAGGTTGACATTAATATACAGAGGTGCCATAGACGGGACAAAACTCTAAACACGGGATCATTCTGAACTGCTGTGGCTCTCTGGCCTTGTATGCTGACCTTGGTGGACTCTCCTCTCTTCCTTTCTTCTATAATAGGTCATGGCCTGTACAAGATATAATATAATTGGCACTAGAGACGACAGTGCTCCCGAGCATTTATGTGAAAGTTATTCAACTTCAGAAATCTTTTAATTTAATAAAAACAGTGTTACAATGGTTTCTTGTTGCTTACTATACATCATGTCAGTGTGATACACATCGGTTCTAGCCGAATGCTCTATTTTACTCTTCCCCATGGTGGCTATAATATTTATAATAATATTAATCATTATTTATTTTATTTAAAGGGATCTTCTTATAGTGTTTTACAAAAGAGATACAAAAAAGCACAGTCCAGCGCAAAGTAGAACCCTCCTCTGGCCCAGAAATAATTCCTGCAATACAGTAAGGCTGCTCCGTTCCGCACATGGGATACCGTGCACTGCATAAAACATAAACAACACCGGGCGCCTATCCTGGTGCAATAATCCTTTTTATTAATAAAATAGATGATATAGAAATTCTTATGCTCGCCAAGGAGACAAGGGTAAAAGCATCATTGGATAAAGGATCCTAAGATGACTTTCCCAGTGTGGGAATGAATAGGAGCAGTCCAAAAAACAATCCAGAGACTCTGCTGGAACCTGCTGAACACGTTTTTGGGGACACGCCCCCTTCAGAGCTGGGTGGCTCAGCTATCTGAGTGCACATTTAGGGCTCATTCACAATGGGAATCAGCCGGCACGTACAGCTCCGTGATGTGTGCATGGCCGTATCGGGCAGCTCCTGGGAAGGACAGGTGTTGCGTGCCATTAGTACGCAGCCCCCGTCCTTCTCTATGGGAGTACGTGGCCGTACGCCGCCCTACACTCACCAGCCTGCACGTTGGTGCAGGTGGCCGTACTCATACACTGACAAGATGGTTCCTGCCTGTGTCCGAGCCGGGACACACGCACCCGTACGGACCTGCACTTGGGGTGAGCGTAGGGCGGCGTATGGCCGCATAGTTCCATAGAGAAGGACAGGGGCTGCGTACTAATGGCACGCAGCATCTGTCCTTCCCGGGAGCTGCCCAATACGGCCGTGCACGCAGCTGTACGTGTCGGCCTTTTCTCGTGTGAATGAGGCCTTATACTCTGTGTTCTATACTTGATTTGTTAGTCTAGAAAGACCATGATCTTTATCTTCAGGAGTGTCATACATCTAGCCTAATGCCCACGAGAGCCCATGGGTTATCTTCCTGATTGCAGGGGATTCCAACGGTAGCTGCACTCTGCTTCTCTCCAAAGTTATCCCGCACAGGACACGTCCAGCTCCGTGACGTCAGCGCTTTACAACAGAAACTGGAACAAATAATACGATGCAGTTAGGTGAAGGCTTGTCTAAAGATGAAGGTTTATATTTGAAAAACTATAAAGAAGGTGACTGATGTTCTTACAAATAGAAATCCAGAATTATGGGGCATACCAGGAGAAGACCCTGTCTCCCAATGAGTGTAGATGGCTTTTTAATGACACACAGAAGACCAGAATTAAAAGCGAAAGTTATGAGGGCAAAGGGGGTGGAGGGGGTACGATGGACTTTAGACAGATAAAGGGGTACTAAGCTATGCAGAGCCGTATAAGGAGTGAGGATTTTGAAGTCAATTCAGAACCTGACAGGTAGCCAGTGCAAGGAGTCGAGGATAGGAGTAATGGGATCATTAGACCTTGTCTGGATTCTGGCTGCTGAACTTTGGACATACTGCATTCCATTTAGTGTGGATTTCGGTACCCTGGCAAGTAGAGTATTACAATAGTCAAGTCAGGACAACAATGTATTGATTAGCTATTCACATGGTGTAGTCAGGCAATATTTCTCAAGTGCAAAAAATATGTTCTGACAACAGCCTGTCCAGGGCCTCACACATTTGATTTTTGTTTTGAAGGTTAATTCCACCCAAGATTAAAATTTTAAATTCAGACGGCAGACTCAGTAGAGTTAGACCTACTTTTTATGTCTCACAGGGCCATGGGTCTATATTGGGTCTATATTGCCAAAAGTATTGAGATACCACTCCAAATCATTGGATTCAGGTGCTCTGTGAAATTTCCTTGCTACTAAATATTCCGCGGTCACCTGTTAGCGGTATTATAACAAAGTGGAAGCAACTGGGAACAACAGCAACTCAGCCACGAAGTGGTAGGCCACGTAAAATGAGAGAGCGGGGTCAGCGCATGCTAAAGCGCACAGTGTGCAGAAGTCGCCAACTGTCTGCAGAGTCAATAGCTACAGACCTCCAAACTTCATATGGCCTTCAGACTGGCACAACAACAGTGCGTAGAGAGCCTCATTGAATGGGATTCCATGGCCGAGCAGCTGCATCCAAGCCTTACATCACCAAGTGCAATGCAAAGCGTCGGATGCAGTGGTGTAAAGCACGCCGCCACTGGACTCTAGAGAAGTGGAGACGTGTTCTCTGGAGTGACAAATCGCGCTTCTCTATCTGGCAATCCGATGGACGTGTCTGGGTTTGGCAGGTGCCAGGAGAACGGTACTTGCCTGACTGCATTGTGCCAAGTGTAAAGTTTGGGGGAGGGGGGAATATGGTGTGGGGTTGTTTTTCTGGGGTTGGGCTTGGCCCCTTAGTTCCAGTGAAGAGAACTCTTAAGGCATCAGCATACCAAGACATTTTGGACTATTTCATGCTCCCAACTTTGTGGGAACAGTTTGGGGATGGCACCTTCCTGTTCCAACATGACTGCGCACCAGTGCACAAAGCAAGGTCCATAAAGACATGGATGAGCGAGTTTGGGAGGGGACAAACTTGACTGGCCTGCACAGAGTCCTGACCTCAACCCGATAGAACACCTTTGTGATGAATTAGAGCGGAGACTGCGAGCCCGGCCTTCTCATCCAACATCAGTACCTGACCTTACAAATGGTCCAACATTCCCATAGACACACTCCAAAACCTTGTGGACGCCTTCCCAGAAGAGTTGAAGCTGTTACAGCGGCAAAGGGTGGGCCAACTCAATATGGAACCCTACGGACTAAGACTTGGATTCCATTAAAGTTCATGTGTGTGTAATGGCAAGCGTCCCAATACTTTTGGCAATATAGTGTATTTTAGCAGCTATGGCGCATGTTCCACTCAGCTCATCAATGGTTGACTATATTGAGTATAATGTCTACTGTTGGGTATTACTCTCTTGTGAAATATTGGTTCAGTTTTTATTTTTTTCCTCAATTGGACTTGCAGTTTATTTAAGATTCCACCAGGTGGAGCTACTGCAGAGAAGATCATAAATACAGAGTACACTGAATGGATGGACCTGCGTCTTTATTCAGCCTTACTTACTATGTAACTACACAGTTTGGACACCAGATGTCAGCAGTGTATAAAGCATAGCATGTCAGGATGTGATCATCATCATTATACAGGATTTATATAGTGCCAAAAGCTTTTTATAAAATAAAGGCAGACTGTACAGCTATAATACAAGAGGATTGGGCGGGCCATGTCATCTAAAAGGGAAGGGCAAGTGATACAAAAGGTAATAACTGGGTAGGGATGAAGAGATGAGTTTTCAGGAGTCACTTAAAGGCAAAGTAGCAGAAAGCTAGATTGGGGTGAGAGTTCCAGGGCATGGGAGAGGTTCTGGAGAAGTCCTGGAGACCAGCATGGGAGGGGGTAACATGGGAGCTGGAGAGCAGAAGGTCTTGGGAGGAACAGAGAGGGCGTTTTGGGAGAGCTTTTGAGACAAAGTTGGTGATATAACTCGGGGCAGAGTTGTGGATGGGTTTATATGTTGATTTTAGAATTTTGCATTTTATTTGTTGGGTGAGCGGAAGCTGGTGGAGGGGGGGAGAGGGTTCGCAGACACTCAGCTGTTGGTAAGGTGGCTGAGTGAGGAAGAGTCTAATCTAAACCAAGTAATAATCTATTTAATTTTTCCATCTCAAAATGATAAAAGTATGCAGACAAAGGATTCAATAAATACTGCATGTCTCATTTTGTCTAGTCTGGAATGCATGGAAACACATGAAAAATGCATTGGAATGCACTGGACTGCACCTGAAAGCCCATTTTAAACAATAAAAAAAAATAGCCCCGGAACGCGGCATAAACACGGCAAAATGCAAAGCACTGCGTTCCAGATCTGGTCCGGAAAATGGTGTGAACGTGGCCTGCATGTCTCATTATATCTGGTCTGGAACGCATGGAAACACAAAAAATGCATACAAATGGATGCAAGCGCACTGGACTGCACCTGAAAACCCATTTTAATCTATAAAAAAGGCCACAAAAAATGCTCCGGAACGTGCTAAATCGCGGTAAAACGCATTGCGTTCCAGATCTGGTCCGGAAAATGGTGTAAACTTGGCCCCCATACGTCTCACACGACAGAGTCAATATAACTATCAAAGTGTTTGCACAACATTTGGATTCTAGCTTGGTTGTAGAATGAAGGGACTCATCTCACTGGTTGCACTGCGGCTTTTAGGTTTCTAATGCTCATTGAATCTGTGATGTATAAATTAATAGTGATGGGCCGAACACCCCCGAGTTTGGTTCGAGTTCGAACTTTCAAACATAGAAAAAGTTCAAACTCGAACTCAATGCAAGTCTATGGGACCAGAACTCTGAAAATCAAATGTCCTCATTTTGAAGCCTCATATGCAAGTTATTGGCCATAAAAGGGGTATGGGGATCCGGGTACTGCCCTGGGGGACATGAATCAATGAAAAACAAACTTTAAAAAAAATACCAGCTCTCAAGGAGCAGTGATTTTAACATTGTAAGTCATACCAGGCCCTTAAGGTCAGGTAGGAATTTTAAAGAGGAACCCATCCCCCAAAAATAGGGGGGGAAAAGATCTGGGGTCCCCTCTAAAATTCCCAACCAGACCCTTGATCCGAGCACAGGCCTGGCAGGGATGGGAAAGAGGGGGGGAGATACTAGCATCGGCACCGATACCGATGCTAGTATCAGTATTTGCCTTACCATACCAGGCCACATGCCCTCGGCACTGGGAGGGTGCTTTTCCAGGGGGGCCTGGGGCATTTTTTGCATTGAATAAAGGGGCACCCCAATATGCCCACCCTTGTGAATGAGTAAGGTGTACTTATACCCCTACCCATTCACTAAAGGGTTAAATTCAAAGTTTGAAAAAAATGCCAGATTTTGGAAATAA